CTCTTTTTTTTTTTTTTTTTTTTTTTTGGGGGGGGGGGGGATATGTGGTTGAAAATTGAGTTGGAAAAAGTGATTTTGAAAAAATCAGTTGCGAACCAGTGCTAATGAAAAACAAAGTCGATATAGAAGTGAAGTCAATGAATGACTAGCAATCAAGAATGGGTTTATCTTACTTTTTGGAACAGAGCAAGTGAAAAGACAGTGAGAATAGAGCAGATTTAGCACTTTATTTACCATAAGCGTAGATGCCCCTCAAAAGATTTTCTTGCAAGCCCATTGCATCAAAACTATCATACACCTCATCATAACTTGCAAAGAATTCCTCGCCATCAGCTCCAAGCCTGTACTCATTATAAATCAAATAAGAGGCCTATACCACCATCATAATGAACAATGGCATAAATAAAATCAGACATCAAAAATCTCAAGGTTTAAATTAAAAAACAGTTAGGTTGAAACAAACTCTGCAAGCATAAATCCAGTAACCTGGATAATAAGATTTGCAACACGAAACTTACAACTCATTCATTTTGGAATCATATTGACGAGCATCAAATTGAGAACCTTCAGATACCATTCCAGCCATGACTGCAGAAAGACAATAAGGATACACCTCAGCACAGGCAATCAACGATACATTAACAGCTTGACAAGGAAAGATCATTTAATGGAAACCGAAAATCCTAGAAAGCATATGAAATTCAAAGAAGAATGGAAGATGTATCAACAAACAGGATGCATTTATTCAAAAGTCAAGACTAGAAAATGTCATCACTGAACATATAAAACAATTTAATATTTAATGTAATTTGATCTCGCTAAATTTATGAGTAGTAATAATGTGCTAGGCTACAAAAGTTGATGGGGAAACAGCAGTCGCTTAATGGCATCAAAGTTAAGAAAACTAATATATACCTGACAGAGCAACTGAGCAAGTATTACAAATAGTTGTGACAGACTGCAGTAAAAGAAGTCAGAAGTACCATGCATTCAAAAACTTCCGAAATTGTCTACTAAAGCATTTATGACA